TTGGAGCGCCGCATGTCCTACATGTTCCATGTGGCTGTCACGAGGATGGATCCTCAGATATTCCACTAGGTTCTCAGTCAGCTGAGAACACCTTGTGGCTGGAAGGAACAGATATCCCTGGCTTTTCAGAGCTGAATTAATTCAGCCTCTCATTTTACTAGCACAAGTTTTGTTCAGACCATATATCAATTTGGTTTTTTAATTTAAATCTTAGCAGAAACCCAGCCACCTATGTTTGCCTGGGCCTCCTGCCCAGATCCCCTTAGGCCCTCTGCCTAGGAAATGCCCCGGTAATTCTTAAGACTCCAAGTCTTAAGTAAAAATAGCTTGTGTACAATTTTTAGGATTATTCTTAAAAGTAATGAGATGCAGATAGCAGGAGAATTCACCAGAACACCTGAGCCATGCTGGTACCGAGTGCTGGTCCAGGGTAGACCCCGGGTGTCCTCTGGTGGGTGTCTCTGTTAGCCTGCCAGCCAGGACATGTCAACAAAAAGGTTAATCAATAGTCTGTCTGAGAAAGAAATGGAAAATTTTTATTTTAGCCAACGTGAAGATTGTATCAAGAGACAGTCTGTCAAAAAGCTCTGAGGACTACCCATCAGAGGTCAAAGCACAGTTACTTAAGTTTTTGAGAGAAAGGATCATACTTTAAATGACATATTAGTGATGGTGTACACAATCCAGAATTATAAGAGACATTTTTTTGGAGTGGTAAATCTGCCTCCCTGCTGTGAGGACATGCTAGTACCTGGCATTTGGTTAGTGAACAATAAATAGTAAATGTTAAGATGATTAAATATGACAGGACAATCATATTTTTTCCTAGAAGAAAGACTAATCTGGTGTAGAAGATGATTCTGTGTTTTCTAGTATCTCACCCCCCAGTGTATATAGAATATCTCAACAAGGGTCCCCTCATTGTTGATTGCAGTAAAGACTGAAATTTAAGATCTTGAGAAATAATTCTGATGAGTAATGTTTGACTGTTTTTTCTTCTCCTTATGTCTCTCCCACAGCCTCAGGAAATACCATACACTTTTCTGCCTCATCTGGCTCATTGTGCCCATCTTTCTCCATTGATATTGCAATACTGTGATTCATAAGAAATAAATATGTGGTCATTCAGATGACTAAAATATATTTCTCATATATATTTTGTCTTAATCCATGGTTCCTTGGCTCACAGCTCCCCAAACCCTTGGAATTTCCTGAGACCATGGGAGCATCTTTTGTCATAATATTTGGCCTCTTGTTCTCAGTTCCTAAAATCTTTTCAGAGCCATAAAGGTGAAAAGGTTGTTACTTATAACAAGAGTCTTTCCACCTTGACTGGGTTTATGTTGGTGAGGTGACTTTTGGAAAGCACCTGTGGATGGGGCCAGTTGCCAGGGAAGCAAGCAGGTGATGAGAGGATTGGAACTTTCAGTCCCACTGACCTGGGCAGCGCAGGGCCACGACAGGGACAGGGCCGGGAGGCTGAATCAATTCCAAGTGATTTAATCAATCATGCCTATGTAATGAGGCCTCCATAGAAACCCAAAGAGGAGAGGGTTCAGAGAGTTTCCAGGTTGGTGAGCCAAGACTTTTCCATATGCCACTGCGCTGGCTTCAAACTCCGGGAGGGCAGAGGCTCTTCTGTTCAGCACCTAGCCCTGTGTATCTCTGTATCTGACTATTGATTCATACCTTTTAATGTTCTTTGTAATCAACAGTAGTCAAGTGAGTAAGAAGTGGGTTTCCTTAGTTCTCTGAGCTGCTCCATTCTGTACATAGTAGTTTGTATCTGCCAATCCCAAACTCTCAAACTATCATTCCCTCCCCCTTTCTCCCCTAGTAACCATAAGTTTTTTTTCTGTCTGAGTCTCTTTCTGAATAACCAGTATTTTTGAGCACCTTCCACAGTGATGAGTTGGGGACACAGTGGTGAGCAAAGCAGATGTAACCTCTCGTGTCACAGAGCTCACATTCTATCAACTTCAGCCTGGGCAGATTACTGCACTTTTCCAGTCCCTTCCTATAAAACGTGGATGATAATCTACCTCATAGAATTGTTAGGATGAATTTAAATGAGATAATGTTTAAAGAATATAGTACATGGTACTGGGACATAGTGGGCACTCATATGTTAATTCCTTTGTCTTCTGTTGTGAACATAATCAATTTCTAGTGTAGAAAGAACATAGTGGAGTATGCAAAAAAATTCTGTAATATGTTGTAAAGAATTATACTCAGAAAATTTATAATTTGGTGAGCTGTAAAACTTGTTACTTACATCTAAGAGTGGAAACATTGAGGAAGAAATATATGGGTATAAAATATTGAAAATTTTTTACCCTCTTAGTGAAAATGGTGTTTTACAATTTTTTGTAAAGCTTACTAATAATAGCTTAGATGACGGTTTTAAATGCTTTATAGATATCCACTTATTTAATATTCTTAAGAATTCTATGAAGTAGCTGTTGTTTCTTATACATTATAAAAAGGAACCTGAAGCAGAGGTCAGGCAACTTGCCCAAAGTCACATAGACACTAGAGCTCGGATTCAAATCCTGGCAGCCTGGTCCTGGAGTCCATGTTCTTAACCACTATGCAATACTGCCTATAAAAAAGATTTCTCCAGAAAGTGGGCACAGAGGGAACATACCTCATCATAATAAAGGCCATAGATGACAAGCCCATGGCTAACAGCATACGCTGTGATGAAAATCACAAGGCATTTCCTCTAATATCAAGACAAGGATGCCCATTCTTACCACTTTCATTCAACATAGTATTGGAAGTCCTAGCCACAGCAATCAGACAAGAAGGAGAAATAAAAAGAATCCAAATCAGAAAGGAAGAAGTAAAGCTGTCTTTGTCTGCAGATGGCATGATACGATACATAGACAATTCTAAAGATGACACCAAAAAAAAACTACTAAAACTCATCCATGAGTTAGGATACAAAATTAATATACAGAAATAAATCTCTTGCATTTCTATTCACTAACAACAAACTGTCAGAGAAGTTAAGGAAACACAATGTTATTTACAGTCGCAGCAAAAGGAATAAAATACCTAGGAATTAACCTACCTAAGGAGGTAAAGACCTGTGCTTGGAAAACTATAAAACACTGATGAAATAGATTGAAGAAAACACAAACAGATGGAAAGATATACCATGTTCATGAATTGGAAGAATGAATACTGTTACAATGACCACACTACGCAAGGCACTCTGTAAAGTCAGTGCAGTCCCTATCAAGATACCAAGGGCGTGCTTCATAGAACTACCACAGACAATTTTAAAAATTTGTATTGAAACCCAGAAGACCCCAAATAGCCAAAACAATCTTGAAAAAGAACAGAGTTGGAGGAATCATGCTCCCTGACTTCAGACTATACTACAAAGCTACAGTCATCAAAACAGTATGGTACTGGAACAAAAACGACACGTAGATCAGTGTGGCAGAATACAGAGCCCAGAAATAAAGCCATACACTTATGGTCAGTTAACCTATGACAAAGGAGGCAAGAATATACAATGGAGAAAAGACAGTCTCTTAAATGGTGCTGGGAAAACTGGACAGTTCATGTGAAAGAATGAAATTAGAACATTCTCTAACATCACATACAAAAATAAACCCAAAATGGATTAAAGACCTAAATATAAGTCTTAAAACCATAAAACTTATGTAAGAAAACAGGTAGAACACTCTTTGACATAAATCACAGTATTTTTTTGCATCTGTCTCCTAAGGCAAAGAAAACAAAAGCAAAAATAAACAAATAGGACCTAATTAAACTTAAAAGCATTTGCACAGCAAAGGAAACCATCCACAAAACAAAAAGACCTACTGAATGGGAGAAAAAAGTTGCAAATGATATGACCGATAAGAGGTTAACATTCAAAATATATGAACAACTCATACAATTTAACATCAGAAAAAAACCTGATTAAAAAATGAGCAGAAGACCCAAATAAACATTTTTCCAAAGAAGACATACAGATGGCCAACAAACACATGAAAAGATGCTCAACATCATTAATCATCAGAGAAATGCAAATTCAGACTGCAGTGAGACATCACCCAACACCTGTCAGAATGGCTGTCATCAAAAAGGACACAAATAACAAGTGCTGGTGAGGATGTGGAGAAAAGGGAACCCTTGTACACTCTTGATGGGGATGTACATTGGTGCAGCCAGTATGGAAAACAGTATGGAGGCTTCTCAAAAAACTAAAAATATATCTTAAAATAGGATAGCATATGACCTACCAGTTCCACTCCTGGACATACATCTGAAAAAAATGAAAACACTGATTTAAAAAGATATGGGCACCCCAGTGTTTATAGCACTATTTACAATAACCAAGACATAGAAGCAATCTAAATGTCCATCAATAGACAAAGAAGTTGTGGTAAACACACACACACACACACACACACACACACACACACTCTCTCACTCTGCAACACTACTCAGCCATTAAAAAGAATGAAAATTTGCCATTTAGCATGGATGGACTTGGAGGGTATTATGTTAAAATGAAATGTCAGACAGAGAAAGACAACTACCGTATGGTATCACTTACATGTGGAATCTAAAAAAGAAAACAAACTAGTAGATATAAGAGAACAGAAATAGACTCACAGGTATGGAGAACACACTGGTGGTTCCCAGAGGGGAGAGAATATAGGGGAAGGGAAGACGGTGAGGGATTAAGAGGTACAGACACTATGTATAAAATAAGTAAGTTACAGGGATATAGTGAGCCACACAGGGAATATAGCTAATATTTTATAATAACTGTAAGTGGAATGTAACCTTTAAAAGTCACTATGTTGTACCTGAAACTGATGCAATATTATACACCAACTATACCTCGAAAAAACACAAAGAAATAGGAGTTTTTAAACATTGCCCCAGTATTCACATTATTCTAAATATGTGTTCTCTTTTCTGCTCCTTTATTCACTGATACATTTGTATTTTATGTTTTTATTTTTAAGTAGCTGTCATGGATGCGCTGGTGGAAGATGATATCTGCATTCTGAATCATGAAAAAGCCCAGAGGAGAGATACTGTGACTCCGGTCTCAATATATTCCGGAGATGAATCTGTCGCTTCCCATTTTGCCCTGGTCACTGCATATGAAGACATCAAGAAACGACTTAAGGATTCAGAAAAAGAGAACTCTTTCTTAAAAAAACGAATAAGAATTTTGGAAGAAAAGGTAATTTATCTGTTACCTTCATCTATGTTGTATGACTTAAAGAACAATTCAAATCCAGAGTATTTGGAGAATTAAATATTTTTCCGTCCTGTCTGCCGTGGGTGTACCAGATTTCCAAGGATAGCACACTGCCAATCTCAAAATCCTGGGCATTTTACGCAGCCTTCTGTGCTTCATGTATCATAACACTTGGTGAATATTTGCAGAGTAGGATTTAACAACATGAAGGGATTAAATTTCAATTTTTGTGTGTGTATGTGTATACATATGGATATAGATATAGAAGTATAGCCAGTTTACAATGTTGTATTAATCAAATATTTTTCTTACCTCTTTTTGTCAGATGGCCTTACCTTCATAGTAGTATGTATTTTACACAGCATTTTTAAATCTGTGCAAAAAATTATATACCAACAAAGTAAATTAAGTGTCCAAGGAAGAAGCTCCTGGAACATTGTTCTGATACGTTTAATAATGTTTTCATCTGGACTGAAGTTTCACATCTTCTTTACCTCAACATTCTCTTTTGTTCTTGAACACACATAATGAGAATGCTTTTAACTGATTAACTAATGTTTCTTCTGTTTACCTTTTTCATTTAGAAATTGGACACTTCTAAAGGTGACAGAATATATAAACATCTGATTCAGTTATAAATCATCAGATCTACTTGGCTTGTATGTTGAGAAATCTTCCTCACTCTTTTTTTTTTTTAAGTTTTGAAGTGTAGCTTAGTTCATGTTTCTTCAGATCATGGTTTATGATCTTCAGATGTTCAGTGTATTCATGTTTTACAAACAGCAGCTTCCACAAAGGAGGAAGGAAATAATCTAGGAATAAAAACTTGAGGATGGGGCTTGGTAGAATTGAGTCCTTTGAAGGAAATACGAAAAAATCAGCTTCTTCGTATTCATACGAATTTTCTTTAATGATAATTAAATGGTGACAGACTGGGATAGAGTGACAAAACATAGCACTTTGGAGCTCGTAGTTAGGTTTTTAAAAGGTCAGTAGAAAAATGTGACTTAGTGTAATGAACATTGGAAAATATTTCTGTGCTTTGTGACATACAATCCTATTAATTTCTGTTCTGGAGTAATACAGATTTAATGAACTAACACATCTGTTCCTTAAAATGTCAGGTGCACATTAACTTGATACTTTTGCTACACAGTAACTTGGTACTGTATACCTCCTTGGAAAGCTCAAGCAGTATACAAGAATGATGTACTGTGTTTTGATGTGATGAATTAATATAAAAATAGATACCACAAAGTATAAGATACTGATGAAGGAAGAGCATAAAAAGAAGACTTTTAAAAAATATTCTGTACTTTTGTGTTTTCTTCATCAGTAAAGCTTAATTGTGTGGCAGTGAAATGTTCACTTACCCGTAGTCCAGACTTTATCCCTGCATTACAGTGATTAAGATGTGGAGCCATCAGAAAACTGGTTTGTTTGTTTTTTTTAACATGGAGTATGCTCTTAAGCTTTCTCTTCTGATTTTCTGCCACTAGCTTATCGGGGCTCGAAAGGATGAAGAAGCCAGTTCTGTGGGACGAGAACAAGTCAATAAGGCCTACCATGCGTATCGAGAGGTTTGCATTGACAGGGACAATTTGAAGAGCAAGTTGGATAAAATGGTAGGTTGGTTTGAAGAGAATGATATCTATATATTGCAAATATTTTCTCCTTGAAGAGGTTTAAAATTAGAAATAAGAGAGACTTGCATTTATTAAGTAAAAAATTGAAAATATGCATGCTCAAGGCAAATATAGAAAATTTTAATGGTAACATTTGAAAGTTATCCTTATACAAAATAAATATGCAGTATGTAATGATGTTTCACTCTTAAGTACGTCTAACACCACTAACTTATTTTGAAAAATCATGAGTTGGTAGAATTTGTCAATGTGTTAAAAAAAAAAAAAACCTGTGAATAATAAGTCCTGAGTTAGAGAAAGAGATTAGTGAAGAAAAAACTGGGTTCATGTTCCCACCTTGCTTTTAAAAAGACTAGAATTAGTTTTTCAGTATCTACCTGAAAATTAATATATAATACCGATCTATAGATTTTATTGAATGTAATTTGGCATTTTCCCTACTTAACTAGAATAAAGACAACTCTGAATCTTTGAAAGTATTGAATGAACAGCTACAATCTAAAGAAGTAGAGCTCCTCCAGCTAAGGACAGAGGTGGAAACTCAGCAGGGTAGGCCACTTACTTGTTACAAATATTCTAACGGAATTAATACATTTTTCCATTGATGTTTATGTCCATGATCAGTTTTCTATATCTGTATGCTGATAAGGCCTTAACTTATTTTTAAATTTTTAGGCATGTATCAGTGTCTCTGTTCTGCTTTTACAAAACAGCAACTCCTTTTAGCTTTTCCCTAGATGGAGATTGCATTTTTCTTGGAGAGAATTTGCCAGGTTTTATTCAGGGCTGGCTTGTGATGAAGTGGATGAAGAAGGGAGTGGACCTCATCCTCTTCAGAGCCTTTTGCCCACTGCTGAACACTGGCGTGGAGTGGTTACACTTGCATTTTTGTTTTGTTTTGGTTTGTTTGTTTTAATTTCTGAAGGTTGTTAAAATGTGCAGGTGAGATGCTGTGTTGAAAAGTCAGGGCTGAGGGTCTGAGTATTAACTCTCCTATTCCATGAACATTCACTCTGATGAGACAGGCTGGAGATGAGGCTCTGAGAGACTTTTGGCAGGAGGCTGAGAGGAGATCTCTCACAGTAGCTCGTTGGGGCTTTTTCTGCAGAGAGAGACTGAGAAGCTAAGTCAAGCGTTAGTCAGTATCTGGTTGTACTGAGTTTGTACAGTGGCGCGTTTATGAGTGAAACTGTTCTGAAGTGAAACTTTATACTTTCTAAAGGGACTAGATGGAGTGATTAGCTGAGTGAGCCTCAGTTTACTCACTTCGCTTAATTCTTATCACTGTCTTCATCTTGACGTAGGTTACTGATCTGTCTGTAATTTTAACATATGCTTGATTAGTGTTGTATATTTTAAAATTTCAAACTGACAAATTTGCTCTTAAACCTAAGCAGAAAATCAGGGATGGGGTGATTAATACGTTCTAAGACAAGATCACTAGATTTCTTATTCTCATTAGCATAGATATTTGAAAGCGATTACTGTTTTTCAAAACCTTAATTGTGTCTGTATTACATTGGCTTTTCTTTTACCCACCTCTCAATAGTGTAAGCTCTTTTGAGTTGCAACCAGTGCAGAAAGCAGAAATAACAGCTTTAATGTCCCTCCTTTTTGTAGTGATAAGGAATTTAAATCCACCTTCGTCAGACTGGGAGGTGGAGAAGTTGAGCCGTGACCTGAAGATCCATGGTTTGGAGCAAGAGCTGGAGCTGATGAGGAGAGAGTGTAGAGACCTCAGACTAGAGCTGCAGAAAGCCAGACAAACGGTACCATAGACTGGCCCCACCGGGAGGTTCAAATGCTGGGCGCGCCACTCGCAGGCCTTGTCATAAGTGTCACACCACAGGCTCAGCGTAAACTAGCTGCTTAGAGAGCTAGTCTCTGAACGTTCATTCACCTTTATCTTCCCTTTAATCATTTTTGCTAAAATTTGATATACTGTATACTTTTAGCATAATCCTAGAATTACATAATTTTGTTGTTAAAAAGCTAATTTTTAAAAAAACCTTATTAGTTTATTAATTTATTAAAACTATTCTTTCAAACTTCCTTTTCCTTCAGTTTCCTTAAGTCATTTTTTTCTGTGTAAAGTGCAAGAGAACTCAGGTTTTATGTTTCCCATTTTATTTAACTTACAATTTGATTAACTTAGACACCACAAGAGACTACTTGATTCTTAGAATTCTTAAAAAAAAAAGAGAAAAAACTTTACCGCATCCACTAATTTTCAGAAGTCTAATACTTTCGGAACAACTTTAATTTTCAGCAAATAGCTGAGAATTCAAGAATTGAGGGGCAAAAGGCAAAACCGAAAACCCTGCTGAGCTGCTGAAGTGTGGTTAGTCATCCACTGAAACACAGGATGCCTCTCAGGTCCTCACCAACGGTCTATGTACTGACACAGCGACCTTTGAGCAGTGTGTGTGTGTCTTGCAGAGGTCCTGTATACAAGGATTTTTTTCAGTAAAGATACAGTCGGTCCTGGGCATCTGCCAACCACAATCGTAGACTACGCTGTCCGTCACTGCTTGATCCACGGATGCCAGCCTGAGGGTACAGAGGGCTGACTCTGCGACTTGAGCATCCACAGGTTTTGGTCCCTACTGTGGATCTTGACACCAGTCCCCTTGGATACCAAGGGACAGCTGAGCTTTGTGTTGGGTTCTAGAAAGCTTGGATACGTTTGTTCAGATGTCATGACGGAGAGCGCTGAGGATAGAAGGTGCACCAAAGGCAGGGTTTAAAACAGTTATTACGGGAAATGGAAAAGCTTAGTAGTCTGGAGTTCAGGAGCCATTATATACACCCATGGATTTCAGACTAAGGGAGCCAGGTAGATCCTTATTTCTCAGCTCAACCATTTTGCCCATCAGAGCATCCAGCACTACCCCCAGGTTCTTCCAGGCTGCCACTGACTGAAAGAGGGGCTGTGCCCTCACCTCCTGACCACCGACCAGGACTCTGCCCTGAGCCCCAGGTGTCCTTGGATGCGCTGACTGTGCTTTTCTGTAATGTCGCCTTTACCGAAGGTGACCGCTGGTTAAGAACGGCATTAAGAGTGATGGGGCATCCTGCATTGGCCTTTACCAGATGAACTGGACAGTGAGAACTTGATTCGGAGCCCCCAGCCCTGATAAAAGGGAAACATCTACGACAAAAATTACTGTCAGCTCCTGCTGGAGCCAATTTTTTTTTTCTTATTTGACATCTGAAGTTAGTTTTCCTGGCTTTGAACCTGTGACCCATGGCACAATTCCCTCAGAGGTCTTGAGTGTCCTGCCTCACAAGCCCCAGTGGCCACAGCCTTCGAGAGGCTCCTTTTACAAAGCTGTGCTTGCCAGAAAAGGCTCACCACGAAGCTCTGAACTGTAATCGTCAGTATATACATTCTACTTTAAGTGATGCGATAGTTTTTATAAACAATGGATATTTACTTACATAGTAGGAAGCAGTACCCTGGAATTACAAAAATTTGGTTCATAATTGTTGTGTTCCTATTAACATTAGCAAGGTCATTTAACTGTCTTGAACTTTTTTCCTATAAAGCTGACGTTAAATATCTATTTTTTTATGAAAGTTAAAATAGGTAATATGTAAAGCAGTTAGCGTAGTGCCTGGTACAGAGGGTTTTCAGAAAGTGAACTACACATTAGGGTAATCCAGAAAAGCAGTGTATGTGTGATACAGTTCAGTTCTCAGCATTTAATATTTTCCACTAGATGGTGCTGGGGGATAAATTTGCTTTTAGTTTAATTCATCTTTCATAAATCACAGAAACAGAGTTGAAGGTAGAAGAAACTTTAGAAATCAGTTCTTTTACTGCTGATGAAATTCAGTCAGAGACTAAGAAACTTTAAGAATTGAAGTGAGATAAGGGAGGTTTTGTGTTTTTTTTTAAGAATTTAAGACATGGTCCTTCCTTCATAGGAATTTATTTGGCTGGGGGAGGGGAGATTTAAAGGTTAAAAAAAATGCTCACAACTAATATAAAGATATCAACCAGGAAAATAAATAGTGGAAATTTATCAATTTATCAAGAGTTCCAAGTTTCAATCTTGATACTGTGGCATGTGTACATTTAAGTCTTACGTCAAAGGTGTTGCTGAGCAGACCAAGAGCGAGCCAAGGAGAGAGACGTATGTTCACACTAATCATCTTCCTTATATTTACTGTAGCCATATTTACAAATATTTATAAGATGCTACTTTGTGAAACATTTTGTAACACCTTCTGAGTGTGAAAGAGCATCGCTACATGGATGTAAGAGTGGCCTTTTTTGGGCTTTTTTTTTTTTTTTTTGAAGTACTTAGTGAACTCAGTTGATTGTTCGGTATTATTGAGTTCGAAGTTCCACTGTGGACCTTTTGGACTCTGTATCCTCCAGTATTCTAGCCATTTATATTCAGAACAGTTGGTCCTTTGAGAAAAACAGACACTGGGGCAGACGTGTAGGAAACGCCGGCTCGGGTGTAGGAAAGGCACCCGGTGACGGCGGGTTGGAGGCGGACACCGCGCTGTGCTGTGCCGGCGCTGCTGAGCGGCCCCGCAGTACGGGGACCCGCTTCGCTCAGCAGTGCTCCCCGGGGTTCCGCGGGACTCCAGCGCCAGGTGTTTGCGTATTACAGATAATTTCCGTTGTGCCTTTTGCTGATTTACAATAGATTTTCTGAATTGTTAGGTGGCAACTGGGAAAATACTTGAACAACCCAAACTGTTACTTTTTTTAATATCACTGGCTTTAAAAATGAGAAAGGTTTCCATTACACATGTACACATGTATACGTTAATTAAAATGTATATTTTATGTATATTTTTTATTAATGATTATTAACTAATGATACTGAGAAACTCAAAGTGACTTGATCTTATTCCTTTATATCTTGTGAGGAACAGGAAAGGAACATGTCCAAGGTCATGTGCCTTGTTAGGGGTCAGGCCTCCCCTGTTTGTGGGCCAGTTTCCCGTCTCTACAGGGCTCCCCTAAGACGCAGCTCAACTGTTACAGTCCTTAGTTGGTATTTTCTGAACAGTCAGGTCCAAATACCCTTGAATCCTATAATATGGTTGATGTTTTACACCCCCAAGTGCAGAGGACTCATGAGGTCCTTTTGTGGCATTTTAGTGTTTCACTTTAAAACATACCATTTAGATGATATAAATACACGGTAAAATTGAATTTTGTCCTCTCAGTTTATAGTGGCCATTCCTGCTAATAAAATTAGTGCCTGTGGTATTGTTTTTATTTGTTGTGGACCCTGAAAGTAAATGCATTGCAAACAAGTGTGTTACAGAATTGCCTTAAACATATTAAGTTTACTTTTAAATATCTTTCATAGGTTCTTTTTGTCATCTATAACCTAAACTACTAAAACTTAAAGGCATATAAGGACTTTATGAAGTCCTCGCCCTGCCACTGTCTTGTGGGAAGAGGAAATTTATGCTGATCTTTTTAAACAGTAACCTGTTAAATTTTGGTACTATTTTTTTGTAGTGATACCAAAAGTGAGATACTAACAAACTTCCATTTTCTGATGGAATGAATTCACTCAGCTGTACTTTGAATAAAGAGTAATTTGATAAAATTTGTTACCCTTTTTAAAATACAGACTCTAGATGGATGTTTTCAGAAATACATTTTGTAAGACTCCAAGTTCTTTTATGTGAGACCAATTGCAGTTTTTAAAGAAAAAGCATTCATGACTTTAATTGGAAATTTAGAAATTACCTGGTATAGGTTTAGAGTTATTTCATTAACATTGAATGTAAGATCTAGTTTTATGCTGCAGTTAACATATTCTTTAAAAGCTGAAACATGGCTAGGCTAATCAAGTACTGACAATAAATAGAACGCAGTATAATGACAACTTGTAAACTTTTTTTTAAACAATGACAGGACCCATCTCAGGAAGACAGTCCGAAGAGTGGAGATGTCCAGAGACTGAGCGTCTCCAGGTATGACCGTTCTCCAGCGCTCAGGACAGTGCAGTCTTGTCCTGTAGCCTCTTTGTGCAGGTTCCTAGACTTGTTATGATTTAACCTCAGATGGACACCATTTGGGTACTGCGTTTAACCTCTGATCACAAGAGACGCAGAGAAAATACTGAACTAATGCTTAACAATAGGCTTGAACTTGAGAAGCAGAAAGGTGTATAATGTGATTCCTTAGACAGAATTTTTGCAGTTATACTTTAGACAGGGTTTTAGGGAGCTAGCAGTATAGATGTATTCTGTCATAAATTCTGATTTTTACATGAAGAATTATGTACTTCCCTATACAGCAATATCACTTTGCCTTTTTGGGGTGTGTGTAGTTAATTATGTTTATTTATTAGTACCACTCTGTCTTGGGGGCAAACTTAGACACCCTTAGTCTTTGATATGACATGAATTTTAAGAGAACTATTCTCTTGGGGTAAGAGTAAAAGTAGCAGAGTTTATGTATGGAATATTCAGCCTCTTTTTTTTCTCGAATATATATATATCATTTTTACTTAAGTAACACAAGTACGTTTTGTCTGATAATTTCTGTTCTACTGTGTTAGTATCCCCTCTCTATAAAGATAGGTCTAGCCAATGAAAAAAATTTAAATTTGACTTGATTGTCTGATTGTTTGGTTTGCAAAGTTTATTGGCCTAAAGTAAGTAATGTGAATTACCTCTGACCTATTCCTGTGGAAAACCTGACTGAGAGAAACGATCAATTAGGGGAAGACGGTCGAGGAAGCACCAGGTGGCCCTGCTCCCGGCCCAGGGCGGCCCCCACCCCGTGTGAAGGGCCAGCAGTGAGGATGGCAGGCCTCGTGGGCCAGTCTCTTGCCCTTCAAACAGTAGCTCATATATGCCATCAGCTTGTATCCACATTTACAGCAAAGAGGCTTTTCCTTGTATTTAAACACGTGTCTAGTACAGTGTCCATGTAAATTATTTTTCAAAGTTGTCTGTCAGTTACTTTCTTTTTTCCTATCAGCCTAGGTTTCCCTTTATTAATTTTGTTGCATTTATCATTTTCATAAGCCTCTTCAAACCATTTTTGGGAAGAAGCAGGGAACAAATGTGTTTACAGTCACAGTAGGTCAAAGAAAAGGGCTTGTATAGTGTGTTAGAACGGGACTTCTGCTTCCATTCTCGGGCGACAGTACGTAGTTTGGATCACTTCTGTGAGAATAACTCGGAAAGCTGACACCACGTAACTAACAAGATAGTGAGGAATCTCTAGGCCAGGATTTGGAGGAGGAGGAGGAAGGCCCAAGGAGGTGAGCCTGGTTTTTGAGGCTGCAGGACTCTGTGCAGTGTTCGTTCTCTAAAGCTTTGTATTAATTCAGGCTCAGAGAAACAGATGTTAGAATTGCCTTGAGTTCAGTCTGAACGTCGCTGTATGCGAAAGAGCTGTACTAATTAAAGCACGCCCTCCTGGCTCCCTGGTGCTCGGGACACTGTGCTTTTGCAAACTGCTTTGCATTTATCTTCTGTAAGCAGAAGGCTTCCATCTCCCGGTTAGCAGCTAGAAAACCAATAACCAACTTTGGGGCTTACCCTTGCTAAACTTTGCATCGTGCATTTTTATGTTAGCGTCACTCCTAACTGCATTCTGTCTTGCTTTCCCTTTGCCTTGTCATTTATACCTGCTTCCAGTTTAGAGTCCGCCGCTTTATTAATCTTTGTAAATTGCCTCATCCACTTTTAAGTGGAACAATTCCATTGATAAATTAAGTTTACTATATTAGGAGAAAAGCACATAGGAATGTTTCCATAAAACCATTAACTAAAAGTTTAGAAATTTTTAAGGATGATTTTCCAGTTATTTGGAAAATTCCCTTTCTATTTCCTTCATCACATTGCCAGGCAGGTGAAGTGGTACCATATTGCTTCGTGAGTGAAGCTTTTAATTACCTTTGACATGGCACTCTTTGTGCACAACTAGTAACAGGAGCAGCCCCGCCCGTCGGAAGCTCGGCCGGCGCTCGGCCGGCGCCCTGCCCGTGCGCTGGCTGGTGTTACCTCCGGTTGCTGCTCTCAGTGCTGAAGCCAGAGCTAGGGGTGGGGTAGCTTCTTAAAGTACAGACTCTGAGCTTAGAAAATGGGGATTAAGTTAGTGGTTTTCACACTTCGTTGTGTTGCCTTAGTGATCATGAGATTTTGTGAGTTAGGACATGCATTTTTAAAATAAGGAATAAAACAAAACATCCCAGAGTATGAGCTGCAGTGTGAAATGGCTGCCTGCTGTGCCGTTCAGTCAAAAATAGTTGAAAGGTGCTTGTCTGAGGGAATCACAGTTGGCAAAATACACACGTCTGCGTCTCTAGTTCTTGGCTAAGACGGTGCCATACTTTCATTTTAATTCCTCTGGGGAATATAATAGTTCAGTACATTTTCAAAAGCTGAAGAAAACTATGGCTGAAGTAAAAACTTAAGTAGATTTTTCTTATACAAGGAACTTTCATTTCAGTATGAGAGTTGAATGTACAGTGTCAATTAAGAAAACAGCTTTTACACAGTTTTACTTTGTAAGCTGGGCGTGTCCCCCCTTCTTGAGATGTGGATAAGCAGGTTTCATTACATTTAAAATTCAGAGATGTGGAACTTTATACTGGACCTAGGAAGGCTGTGTTTTTGAGGGGGGGAGAGAGAGAGTGTGAGAGTGTGAGAGAGAGAGAGAGTGTGAGAGAGAGAGAGAGTGTGAGAGCTCCCAGGTGGCCAGGTCGGTCTACGGATGGGCAGGGGCGCCTGTCCAGCGCAGAGTGAAGGCTCAGCCCTCATTACCAGTCTATCTCATCTGTCTTACTGTCTCGGGTTCTCATTTGGGATACTTTGTGCTGCATCTCAGTGTTCAAGTGGTTTTTAAGTTCTTTATAAAATTTATGTATGGCCTTAGGATGCTGCTCGTGTGGCATTTAGAGCAAAACTAATTTACGCTCCCCGATGGTGGGGGCAGAAGGGGAAGGTTGTGTCTCAGAAATACACAGGTCAGTCCAGGTTAGTTGGAGCTCTGCTAAAGATTTGTGGATGACAGCTTTTCCAGTCTCACGTGAGTAATGATATAAACATTTTGTTCAAGTACAATTTTACAAAATTAACACACTTTGAGGACTCCAGCGCTTTTCTATGAACTGTAAAGCGCAAAGTAACTGCCATTACTCTGTTTCCCACAAGAGGGAGAGCTCGTACTTAGTAATGACTAGATTTTTCTGTCTGTAGTTTTCAATTCAGGTGACGTTAAGGGCAAAAGAAAACAATCTGATGTATGTTAAACGTGGTGACCTAGTTTTTGAACTTGAATTGGAAGGTGTGTATAGATGCTGCTCTCACACCTCCGCTGTAATTGTTCCTGCTGTGTCTTACATGCTTGGCTGCAGTGCTTAGACACTGTCTGCAGTATTGCTTTTCTTTTCTCCAAGTCAGGCACTGATGTACCATCTCAGGCCAGTAATAAACCACTGGCTCTGAACTGCAGTGTTCACACTTCCCTGCTGCGCAGTGTGAGGGGCTCTTTGGAAAGCATACTGAATGCCCCGAGCTGCACCCAGGCACCGCCCGCTCTCTCCACACTTCACACGGGCTCCTCTGAGGAACGCTCACCGTGACACGCATCTCAGACGTTGACTGGGGAAGAGAGGTGGCTACCTTAAGTTTTGTGAAGCAATTATTTCACACCTGTCAGAAACTTGCAAAAATCCCCGTGTTCTTTAATAGACCACTGGTTAACAAATGACGCTGACAACAGACTAAAACAAGTAGAGTTTTCTCAAAAGCAGTGTAAAGTTTATTCTCCTGCTTCTAATGAAAGAATTGTAGTCTGAGTGGCATGGAAATGTTTTGACCAAAAGGTATGTAATTACATAATTGAGAATACTTCTGTTTTCGACTGTATCTCTTTCGATAATTGATAAGCTGTTAGATTTAGGTATCAAGTGTTATCCTTGAAGTTTCTTCAAAGGTTTTTGTTTGCAGCTAGACAAAGATTGAAGCATGAAGTGATATGTTTATCTAATTTGATTTCATTATTACTAAAATTACACTAATATCTTTAAGAGGCAATAATGGTAATTTGAACACTATGAGATCAGCTGTTCGTACATTTCATATTTTATGTATTCTGGTGCAGCAAAGTAAGGATAAATGCTGAAGATTCTGTTTTACTTAGTTGGCAGTTAAGAACATGGAAAAGCAAAAATTATGAAAATCCAGATAGGAATGCTTAATGGAAGATGAACTTAATAAAATTAGGTTTAAAATAACTGATTTATAATTTGTTAGATAACTGAGGTAGAGTAGTTTTAACCATAGAATGAGACGTACCATAAAGTTTTATGTGTTTGCTGTATCCCCATCTCTAGCTCCCGTTCCCTCCTCAGGAAGTCATCTGGCTCCCCAGGTCCTCTGCTGTCAGGTCACATTGCCTCAGAGCCAACCATATGAGACAGCCCAGTCAGACATAAAAGAATGGAATACATGAAATCTAAATTTTATTTTAATGTGGGCTTGGGTACACGCTCAGCAGTTCGTAACAGCACTTCAATTTACAACATCAGAACAGAGTAACCAAACACAGATTTAAAATCCATACATGAGTGACTGTAACTTCATTCCTGATCAGATTTGCAAATGAAGAACATATTCCTTACCATTAAATATATGAACAGCACTGCCTATCACAGGCTGTCACAACACCTCAGTTCTGAGAGGAGGACTATTAAATTCGTTGGCTAAACTTTTTAAAATACCTTCTGTTTAATATAGTTCAGTTAATTGCTAACAATTAGGTCGGTACTATGAACAGCGTCTTTTCACTTATTATAATGCTCTAAATATTTCAGTTACTTAATAAAGTTAATTTATATTTCAAAACTAATTTGAGCAGAAATGCAGATAAGCTCATTTCTGTTTTACAGTTATTCCCTCTGTCCACAGAATAACAACCGTTAACTTTTTTTTCTTAAACCCTGTATTTCAGCGCTAACATGCAAAGCGCATACTGGGACCTGAAGAGAGAGATGTCTAATTTACATCTGGTGACGCAAGTGCAGGCTGAGCTGCTCAGAAAGCTGAAAAGCCCCGCCGCAGCCAGGAAAGGCAAGTCAGGCTCTGCCGGGAACCGCCGATTCCAGCCAGACTGCTCAGAGAGCAGCCCGGCTCGCTCGCGGGTCTTATCGAAAATCTCATCAGACGCGCCCGATGAGGCGGCGTGTGCGTGGCGGCCCGCCGGCCAGCTTCACACGTAGAGGTGTCGCCGCTCTGTGCTGTCCGCAGAGCTGTGTCCTTTCCCCTTGTGGCTTCCTTCTCAGCCAAGTGTTGCTTCTGTGTTTAAGGCCGAGGTGTTAAGTTTGCTCTCATTGACCTTTTGCCACAGCGACTTCATATATTTGTTTAAAAAAAGGCACCAAGACACCAAAAGCTGTTTTTCGTCGCAGTGCTATAGAAAATCCCAAAGAGCTGGCTCTTTAACTTGTCTTTAAAAAGATAACTGATTGATCAGTTGGTTATTTTCAGGGTTTTTTTTGTCAACTGAATTTTGCTTTCCATTAAGGATAGGCTGTTGAGGATGGAGACTAGGTGCTGTTTATTTAGCCCTTCCAACCAAAACCTCCCATTGCTTTGTTTCTCATATTTAACTGCTTGGCTGACTAAACCCTTTGAGGTTTGTGTTCACCAGTAGTGGCTGCCTCGCCAGAGCTATTTTTATCCCTCAGAGAAAAATCAGTTTGTTTATACCACACCTAGCTGTATTGCGTAAAGCTGCGTGATACGAATTGGAGCGCCCTAAAATTTATTTTTAAAGAATGAGATACGACTTTTTAATTTAAAAAAAAATCATTTATTTAAAATTGCTATTTACACCTCAAATTGTTCCTTAAGAGGGCACAAGAGATTTTAGAAATAGTTCTCCTCAGGGATGTTTACTGGGGACAGGAAGGTTGCACACTGGGATGGAAAACTAAATTCAGATTCCTTTCCTTATGAGTCAGCACGATAGCAAGGTGCTTCGGCAGCCCTGACGTGATCCACCTTTCATTTTGCCCTCAAGGTTTCCAGTGGCCAGAGTTACATATGAGACGACTTTAAGTTGACAGAAGAAATAAGATGTCTCTTAAAAGAGACTCATAGAGTAATCTTTCAGTGAGTTTTCAGTGTGGCTCTTAAATACTGAGTAGAGCTTACAGAAAGTAATACAGGAGAAATGTTCTTTTTCCTGTTTGGAAATGGCTCATGCTTGGGTCCCTTCTGAGCTGGGGCATGAGAAATCGTTTGAACCATGAGTTTTCTAGCACTTTTCCTAGACGTGCCAAGGGCTCGGGGCCAGCGCGCCTGGCACAGAGCTCAGCGCTTTGCAGGACAGGAGACCGGATCCCCTTTTCTCCAGCCTGCATCTCAGCTGGTCCAGAAGCTGAGCCACGCCGCCTCCTCCCAGGGACAAGGCAGTGAGCTTATGTGATCACGCGGTTGGATTTCCTCCTCCTCTAGAACTGCAGGGTCAGCCTTCGTGCACTTGGTACCATCTCAGAGACGCACTTGTCTTGTCTTTGCTGCCCGGGCAGGATGTGAGGCGGAGGGAAGGCTCCTGCCCCCGCTGTGTGCTGTGGGTGAACGACTTGAGAGCAGTTGGGTTTCTCATCGTTGAATGTATACGAAACACATTTTCCTTGCTGGGGTTTTTTGTTTTTCTTTTTTAATTTCACCTGTATTGCGACCATTGCAGAATTTACATTTACCATTATGCGTATTTTATAAGACATAAGAGCATCTTACAACTTTTTATTCACACAGTTTTTTCCATAAAAAGCCTTTTAATACATGTTAACTTCATTTGGGTCTCACCAATTCACAATGTAATTATTTCTGGAAAAGATTTGTTTTTGGACCACCTATGGAAGAGAGATTTGAGTAAGAAAAGAAATATTATATTTAATACAGTTACTCAAACCAAGGAGTAGCATCCTTGGTTCCGTACTGATGCACAAACATGCTGCAAGGCTTCTCTGGCCACACTGAGAGCCAAGAACAGGGTCTCTAATTGGTTTCTAACTTTTTAAAAAGGAACTTCTTCACCTGCAGTATGAGACAGGTGGGACAGGACTACTGGGGCCATTTTGCAAGCAAGGAAAGTGGCGCCTGGAGCAGTGAAATGTCACAGAGTCTGTAAACAGCTGATCCAGGATTAGGATGAGACCATTTGTCATCTGTGTGCAGGTCACAGACCCCCAGTGAGGGCAGTGACGTGGACACGCTTATTTTATTTCCCGTCCCAGAATCACCCAAACGAATGACACGTTTATGTGTTTTATGATCGTAAATGCCACGACAGCTGACCTTCCGCCTGTGCTTGCTTTTCAGCCTGTGCCAGGGCAGGACGTGCGGAAGACGGCACGGACCTGCCCCTGCCGCCGCTGACCGCAGCGCACGCCAGACCACCGCTGCGCTCCCCGGACGGCAGGCCGCTGTGTCCCGCCGCTCCCTCCCCTCTGCCGGGAGAGGCCAGGGCTTTATCAGAGCGGGCCGTCCTCCAGTCCTGGACAGACAACGAACACTCCATTCCTCACGACAGCACGCACTTTCAGGAACACAGTTCTTACGGCAGGAATTCTCTGGAAGACAACTCTTGGGTGTTCCCGAGCCCTCCCAAGTCAAGTGAGACAGCGTTTGGGGAAACTAGAAATAAAACTTTGCCTTTACCCAGCCTGCCACCACTGCATTACTTGGACCAACGTAATCAAAACTGCCATTATAATAATTGATTTCTGAGGCGACTCCTGGTTTGGTCACGAGGTTGCTGTACCTCCCTCAGTGGCTTTGGGAAATCATTAACAGACTGAAGGCAGATCTTTGATGACACCCGCAGAGTTGCTCAGTCTGTGCGTTTGCACACGGCGTACCATGTCGCGTGGTCGACTTCTTGGTGGGAAGGAGCGCGTGCCGGCTCACGCTGTGGTTGAGAGGCTCCTGCCGGGTGAAGTGATAAACTTCCGGGGTTTCCACGTGACACCTCTGCCTTGGATGATACAAATTTCTGCCTCTCACATGAATAGAATTGAAAGTTTTCAGGCATGGTTTTACAAAGCATATGAAATGCCTAAATACCCATTCATAAAAATAAAGGAGACCATTAGATCAGAGAAATATCGTAAGTTGCTGTAAGTTGCACTAAGGAGTAAATGGCAGTGTGAGCTGGTTATATTTTAATACTGCGTATTATAGTGGAACAGCAGTATCTGGCATATTCCATCCACATGTGCTCCTGCGTCTCAGACTTTAACATTTAAAATCATTCTTTAATCACAGTGTTGATAAAACTGAAAATTACAGCTTGGACTTTTAAGACTTGAAATAACCTGCTGATTGAAGTCCCGCTTTGTCCCAGTACATCACTCAAATCCTAGTTGAAAAAAAGTTGCAAAAAAACTAGTTGAAAAACCACGTGGCATGTGAACAAGTGATTACAGTCCTCCACATTATCCAGTTAGACGTAGGAACAGCATCGCAAAGGTTTCCGTCTGACCCCGTCCCTTGCGGTGTTCTGTAATGAAAACCTAAATGTGTGTGTGACTGTGTGATGTCTACACCCACTTGTTACATAGAGCCGCTTAGAAACTGGCCAGCTCTGTTCTCAAATAAAATGGTTTACTTACTGAGAAAGTGATTTTTAAGAAGCTGAATTAGGAACTTCAATTCTAGAAACCAAATTCTGTGCTGTATTGATACATGACATAGTACAGTCACGAAATGTCCCCAGAATGTTCTGATTCTAGTGGGCCTGCCTGTCATTTATAAACAAGCAAAGAAATACCAAGGATGACTTCACAAGGCAATTTCTCTGTGTTCTTTCAGGGTGGTGGTATTAAGAATATTAGTAACACGTTGCTGTAAACCTTTTGCTTGAGAGAAAGTGTTTCACGTAAAAGGCCTTTATCCTTTCTGATAGACAGTTTCAAACACCCTGAACTCAATATTTCAAGTCTTTTCTGTATTAACTGAATAGCATACACATATAAACAGTGTTCACCATTCACCGGGTATTTTTGTCTTTCTATTATCTTACTTATTCAAGCTCGTCTGTGATTAATGGAGTTGGTGTCAGATGCTGGAATTTATTCTGACCAATGAACACAGCTAACTCAAGGGAGTACAATCTCCTGCCAAGTAATAGAACAAAACCCAATATGCATAAAACAAATACCAGGCTCCAGGCTTTAGCGGAAGGAAGCAACTACCTGTGTAATAACAAAGCAGCAGCAACCGTATCTCATGTGGCTGGACAGGCTGTATATTCTAATCCTAACGTAGCTTACTGGTCTGCCTTTTTAAAAACCAAGATTGGAAATTTTCCTGGTAAAGATATTAAGTCGGGTGACACAATGGCTTGATTAATGTTTTGAACAATGCCAAGACATTGTTTAATGAGAATAAATTATTTTTGTTTGACACTGAAGTGGATGTGAAATACTGTCCTTGCCTCTGTATTCCAAGGTCACATGCTAATTATTAGTTGTTAATTTCATCCATGTAGCAGACATTTGTCTTGCTAAACCAACTTTTGAATGGAGACAGTGCTTTTGCATCTAAACAGCAGGGTAGCTGTGAAACAGGAATGTTGGAAAATCAGTGAGTCCCTGACAGTTTAAAGTGCTAAAGAAATGACCAAAAGCTCTTGAGGAACGATTAACCAAGTCACTTTCCCCAGTCACAAAGTTTTAAATGTACACTCAAGATCATGCCTGTTATTGGTAAGACTCAGAAGAATGGCCGTCTGTGGCTTCCTGTCTATTTAAAATGGAAAACTTTGTTGACTTTTTTCACATTAGCTGAAACTTGCTCCAGATTGCTTTAATCCTCAGATTTTTATAAGGAAAACCCAATTCAGCACATCCGTAACTCAGCAGAATGAAGAGAACACAGGTAACAAAAAAGGCCTCTGGATCCCCCGTTAGCTAAAATAAGTTTCATCTTCTCTGAAAGGAAACCGAGGTTCTGCTGAAACAGAACCTAGCGTCAGAGCGGAGCAGCGATGCACCCGTGTGAAGTGCAAGGAAACCAAGACAGTGGGGAAACTCGGACCTAACGCACTAAGGGCGGACGCTCGTGGGAAAAAAGCCACGGTCTTCTCCAGGAAAGCTCTGGAGGAGGTGGAAAGCAGACTGTCACTTGGAGGCGGGCTCAGGAGTGGACGGTGAAGAGCAATGAGTGAACTTACACCCTGTAGCCTGGGCTGCCCAGCACCTCTCGGGGAGAGATGTCCACAGAAACGAATTTTCCATATAAATGGAAGCTGGCCCCTCTGATGCTAATTAAAATCACAAAATAGCCTCACACCGTATACTCCACTAGCTTTTTAAAGTAACCATTTTACCCTTTCTTCATTTAAGTCATTAAAAACAAACGAATTCCTGGGCTCCAGGAAAGGCACCAGTACCCACAGGCCGCCAGGGAGGGCGGGCCTGCGGACCCTTTGCTGTGGGCTCTCCCGGACTCCATGGGGCTCCTGTCAGGGTGCCAGGAAGATGTGGTCTCTGGGTTTCAAGTACGAGCAAGACAGTTCTATGGTCCACTCAAGAGCGACGCGTGGAACACCCATTGGTTCTTTAGGGCCCTGCTTTGAACTAGATCTCAGATCTGTTTCATGGGGTTGGGGCCAAAGTTACCTCTTGTCCTAGCAGGTATTAACTCCTATTTGCAATTTTAATGAGAACTATGGAAATAAATATAAATTGTACTTACCTGGAAGCTGGCTGCAGTGGCTATGGTGAAGCGTTAACAGAAAGAAAAAAAAAGCAACTTCTAATATAAAAGCTCAACCTGGGACCAGATTACCGCATTGGGACAGAAATTCCTTACACTAGTTCCTGAAACTATTACTATGCTACAAAATGGTCATTCATGCTTACAAAGAAGACTGAAAAATTAGGTTAAAATATCTCTAGTAGCCAAGTTACCAGGTCAAGGAATGTAACAGTACATGTTAGGAAATTTTCCATGAAAGATGTTAAGTAAAACTAATGTAGAAACACCTGTCTCCTCGCCTGTGTTTCCAAACCAGCCTGTCCTGCTACTGGTGGCCGCTGGAAAGGGGCTCACCGTGTCTCAGGCACTGTCCTGCGGGCCCCACTCGCCTGCATCCTCAGGTCATCCTCGTGGTGATGGAGACTGGTATCCACGGCGGCTGAGCTGGTGGCGGCAGAGCCAGGCTCACAACCACTCTGGTCCACCGCTGCATCCGGACGCCTTGGAGTGGAGGGCTGTCCGCTCCTGCTTCTCTCTGCTCCTGGCCCCTCCATCGGCCGTGAGTCTGTGCGCTGAGGAGGTAATTAGATTCTACTGGAAACCTAAGAATCAGTAGCAGTGTTAGAGAACCCCGGTTGTGGACCAATCTGTGAAAAGTCCACCATGACCAGGCCACCCACCCCATTTCACTCCTTACTCTTGTCCCATTTAATACACTTAACTTGGAAGTTCAAAAAAAAATCTTTATTTTAAATACAGTTATTTCCATAGTTAAGGATAAAGCAAAGAGACTTCCTTGAGTCCGTTACAGCAGGTGCCTGTGATTCCCTTGAGTATCGGGGCCCTGAGGACCATCTGAATTTCCGCCTACATGCTTGTGGGAAGCTTCTGCAGCCTCCTCTTGGAAGGAATTCCAGTTTTTCTGAATTCTTCTCTTTCCTTCAGGTATTCCATTTTGCATTCTTCATAAAAGGCTGGATCATTATAGCTACAAGAAGGAAACAAAAATCTTTTCAGATTGAGTCACTGTGCAAGCATATAATAGACGCTTACCTTAGTAATACGTTCAGACAGCCGGTGCGCCAGGCACAACCTTTAGAAGCAGATTTTCAGTAATGGTCATAAATTCATTATAAACATTATGCTACCAAATTAGTAAAACAAAACAAGACAAAACAAACAGATCTAATGGTCCTTTTCTGAACAGCGATGTACCAGGATAGTCCGAGGGGCGCGGCACCGTCCCGGGAGCCCAGGCCGCAACAGCGCAGACGGTGAGGCCGCGTCACAGTCGCCGTGTTCGTCACGATC